GCAGCTGGCTGTATGTTGAGGGGCTGTCCTCCCACTGACTGTAACTCTACTTTGGCTTTCCGTTCTGAAGATGGCCAGTGTTCAGGTCTTGGTTGTAGAGACTGTTGTGGAGGGTGTCTTAGCTGATCAGGTGCTCCCACTGCTCTCGGAATGTCTCCACAGAGGTATTGCCCCACTGCTCTTGGAACATCTTCATACTGATATGGTTCCATTGCTTGTGGAACATCTCCTTGGAGATGTGGTTCCATTTGCAATTCATTTGGATCTCGGATCCGAGGGTCAGGATCATCCTCCTCCAATGTTTTTTGGTCTGGATAGTGAGCATTCTCTGGAATGAGTCCCTCCCACTGATCTGTACTAGTGTCTGTGTTCCAGAGAGCAGTGTCATCCTTTTGTACCTTTCCGGATTCATTGAATATGACATGCCGACTGGAAAACACAGTCCGTTTTTCAGTGTCTAGGAGTTTGTAGGCTTGCTTTCTATGTGTGTAGCCAATCATTATGGCTTTGCGCCCCTTGGAGTAAAACTTCCCTTGCCTTTTGTCTTTCAGAATCAAGGCATATGCTTGGCATCCAAAAGGGCGAAATAAAGTTGGATCAACTCTCCTTTTAAACAGTATTTCATATGGGGTCTTTCCATGGAGTCCTTTGGCTGGGCGGCATGCTATGATATATGCAGCTGTTTGCATGGCTACCCAGAATGACTTTGGGAGCTTGGAATCATGGAGCATAATGGTTGCTAATGTAGCCAATGTCTGATTCATGCATTCTGCAATGCCATTTTGTTCCGGAGTATCTGCAGCTGTAGTTTCTTGGATGACACCATCTCCTCAGAGTTGATTTTCGAATGCATTGCCAGTATATTCTCCTCCCCCATCGCTCCAGAGGAATTCTGTGTATAGTGGAGTGAAGTTTTCTTCTCCCAAATGAGTCCGGAAGAATGTTTGGACATCTTCTTTCCATTGCTTGTATCATTCCAGTGCTTCACTTTTATGTTTTAGGAAATATATCCATGGAAATTTGGAGAAATCATCTACAATGATAATCCAGTACTGAAAGCCCTCCCTGGAAGTTGGTTTGATCGGTCCTCCAACATCTGTGTGCACAATTTGTATGGGGCACTTGGCTCAGTTTCCTCCAGTGGACTTGAAAGGTAATTTCTTCATCTTTCCTAAAGCACAAGGTTCACAAAACTCCGGGGTTCCGGTAAGGGTGTCTATGTCCTGGAGCTGTCCTTTTGTAACCATTTGTTGCAAGTGGTCCATTCCAATGTGTCCCATTCTCCTATGCAATAAATTTACATCTACTGCTGCAAAAGCTGACTCCGGGTTGATTTTGGGTTTTGCTTGGATGTGATAAAGTTCTCGCTTGTGTAACGCAGTGAGGATAAGTTTCTCCTTTGTCCAAATTTCACAAGCATTTGACCCTGCTGGAAAAAGTGTTGATAACCCCGTTTTGGACAATTTGTGGACAAAGACGAGTGCTAACGTGAAGTTTGGCACAAGTAAGACATTTGACAGTGCAATATTGTAGTTCTTTTTGCCAACAGTTGCTTGTAGGATTACTGTTCCAATTCCAATGGCATTTACAGAGGATTCATTCCCAAAACTGATTGTCCTTGGAGGATGCAGAACATGGTATGTTCCTGGCTCAAACCAGGAGCGGTGAGGGACCATGTGGGATGTTGCTCCAGAGTCAATAATAATTGTTGTTTTGGTCTTATCGGGTTCCGACACAAGGTAAGCTTGAATGTGTTTAGCAAGGGGCTTGGAAATATGTACATGATCCAATGCAATATGACTCTGTTCCTCCTCGGAGTCAGATCCGGATGATTGCTCCGCTGTTACGATCTCTATTGGACATTCAAGGACTACTCATTTGTTTTTACTCATTGGTTATACCATCGGACCGATGACTCATTTCCTTCACGTACACTTCCGTTCCTCTCGCATTCACAGTACCTATCATAGTACTTAGTCTTCAACAGACGGACCTGCCCTAGGTAGGACCTAACTCCTATCACCAATTCCTTTCCATTATAAATACCATGTAATAGCAGTAGTATTCTCCAATACGATTCTACGCAGTTTACGCTTACAAAGCTAGACTCCTAAGATCAGACTTCTACTCAGAAGAAGACCAACTCTCGTTGGAAGACCTCCACTCAGAACTACGTTCTCGAACTTGTCTTCGGATAAGTCTCTTTATAAAACCTTGACAAACCCTCAGACTTTGTTAAGCACTTCGTGCGTAACATCCGCTGTATTTGCCTTTTCCTTCTCTTTTCCTTTATCCTTGTGTCTTTCCTTTCCCTTCTTCTTTTGACCTTTTTCAGCTGACTGAAGTGTTTGACACTCTAAGGTGTTGTGTGCTTTGGCTTTGTGGAAGTCACACCACTTCTCCTCGGATTTGAGTGCTGATTTGGAACCTCCAGGGGCCTTCCCTGACTGTCGTGCAACTTCTGCAGTGATCCGGATCTCAAATGCATCAAAGGTAAGTTTATTTTCTTCAATCGTGTTGATTACTGATGACTGAAATATTTGCCATTCAGGAGTGCATGGGAGAGATTGGAGAAGAGCGAAAGCCATGAGTTTGGTATCAACTCCTAGTTTCATTCCGGAGAGGTGTGAATCAATTGTCTGGATTTTTGCAATGTGGTCCTGGATAGGTAATGTCCCATCCCAGGACAATTTGGTGAGTTGCTGGAATGAATAGAAGGCCGAGGCAATATTGGACGTTTGATGGAGTGAGACACGTTTATCAAATAACTCCTTGGAGCTGGTGAGGTCTCCAGTCCTCATTAGGAGGGCATCAGAGATGTCGTCCTGGATGATTCCATGTGCCTTCTCATCCTTAAGTATCCAGGTAATCTCAGGATCCTCCGAGGAGGTAGGTTTTCCCGGTGAGGGCTTAAGCTCCTCTCCAGTAACAACCTGGAGAACTTTTTCCTGACATAGCTTTGAGATGATCCGGAGTTTCCATATCTGAAAATTGTTGGGTCCAGTGAGAACTGGACATGCGGATGTATCGCGTGCTGTGGTCATAGTTCCGAGGTTGTCGTTTCAAATAAGAATTATTTCCTGCATAGCTTTTGCGCACCAGGGCTCATAACCTAATAAAACTAAGTGAAACTCAGCCGCTGCCCGAGAGGCTATAGAAACGACTGAGGTATTCCTATACTAAACCCCCTACTACTTATAGTCAGAGGTGCTACTCGCTACAGTATAATGACTCCTAGAAGTACAATTGTGCTCCTAGGAGAACAATGGCTGCTTCGGCAGAGACCAGGTTTATCCGGTTTTGTCAGTTCACCCCATCGTCTGATGAAGTCTTCCATTTCCTTGACAATGTCAAAGTGTTACATCTGGGAATAGGTTTCATCCGATTTTACCAAGCTTGTAAAGAATACAATCCTGGTTGTTTAGCCAAAAGGGTTGTTCACCCGCTCATGTCACTGTTCAAACTGATGACTGCCAACTAATATGAAGAGACTGTGCAAACTCAGGAGAGAACATCACTCCTTGCCCTCTCTATCCTATGCTTGCTTTTGCATCCAACCTACATTAATCCATGGTTCTTCATTAACTTGTGACAACGTATTTGCCAACATTACCCCTTTCCCTCTCAAAATTAGAGTTGAAGATCCACATATCCTACTCAAACTTTCAGAGGCTTTGGATTTCACAGAAATTGTCAACCTTGGTTTTTTTGTTTATCGCAATCCATCTACTAAAAATTGGTATTACCAGATATATGGAGAACCCCCATTGTCAGCTTCAGCCAACAATAAACGGCACAATGACATAGCCAACCTCATTTTTTCCCATCAACCATCATCACCATCTCTCAGGGGTCCCATCTACGTGATGAAAAATGGTCTACTTTCACATTCTTCGTGGTTTGACAATCCCAGATTTACGGCTGAAAGATTGGCACACACCATCTGGTGGTACTATAGAAGCAATACCTCCCCCAATGTTGAAAACCAAAACCGTCTCCTTTTTCACACCCTTTCCAATTTCTAATGTCCCTCAAAACTATTCACATTATCTCAAAAATGGTCCACCTACAAAAAAGAGTATGTCCACAACTTCTTCACTTAACTTTGTACGCTCATTGCCTTCCAGCAATTTCCTCTTTTTTTTTTTTTTTTCAAGCTGCTCTATTCTTTCCAGGTTGTGAAAAACCTGTCATTGTCAATGTCCCATCCAACCATGATGTCATCATTCCCCATCCAATCTCTGTATCCGATATCTGTTCAGACCTTTATTTTCCTCCCCTCTTTGACACTGCTCTCAGCACTCTGCACCAACAAGGAAACGTAGAGATTGACTCTGACAATGACAATTTGCATTTTCAAACTACATTTGTCGACGACCATTCATCAACTGGCAACTCAACTTCCACCCATCTCCCACAAGCAACTGACAAAATTCCTATATTGTGTCATACCGTCTATTGCTTCCCTTCTTCCTGTGCAACTCATTTTTATCTCAAAAACTGATTCACTTTCTTTTACGCAGACCAATCAGCAATTGACAACCGCCTCAAAAAAAAACTTGTTGCTGGTTTTCTTGGTCAAACAATATTTCCCCTTTGCGGATGTTGCCCCCTGAAAGGTCCCATTGTAGCCGTTAAACACTTGCGTTCACAGCCTGACAACACTAGCCACATTGTAGAACAAGACTTACACCTTCTAAACATACTACTAGCCAGGTTTGTTTAACTTAAGTCATTGCGACATTTTTCTCAAAAACTTTCTCCAGTTCCATAGTGCACTATGTACTGCCTTGATGTAGACAACATTCGTAGCAATTCTTTTCTCTGCTATATATTTTAATGTGAAGCCTATTCTCCTATTCAAACAATCATTCCTCCTTCACAACATATTTTGCTAATACTAGTACATGCCCTACTTTGACGCAGCAGTCTTCTCTAAAATGTAAATACTCTGAATTTTAAAATAAACTCACCATGCAAGCCACCCCGTTGGCCATGTGTACTCAGAATTTGAGACATCCCCTCACATATGCCTGCACTGAACGGTTCCTATTACTTTCACAATGTTTCCCCCTTCCAAACCGTTGGAAGAATAAGAGAGAGAGACAAGCCTCGTACGGCGTAGTACGAAGGCAAGTAGTGGCGCAGGCGCCAAACTGGGAAGGTCCAGTAGTTGGGGTAGCCCGTGCACCTAATATACCGCATCATTTTTTTTGGTTCCGTCTTCACTTATATACGCTGTTGTTGTCAGGCAGACACCTCAGATCTTCTGTCGAAGTCTGAGGTGAGACACTTTTATGATTAAACCTACGAGTACTTAGCTTATGCCTCATTTCCAGTTTACTTACTAGGTACATTCTTTTGAATATATATCAGATCTTCTGTCGAAGTCTGAGTTTACTTACTAGATCAAACCCGAACGATTTCACAAACTTCCAAAATCAACCACTTGTTCCTGGAAAATTATGCTTTGGTAGCTTGAATCCATTTCAACTCATTTGGTCGGCATGCCACCTCTTGCAACAACTACATCACTGGACTCTACATATTTCGGATGGGAGAGCCTTCCAAGCAACGCATGTGCTCCTTCAGCAATGGAGTGTCCCCTCGGTTTCACTGTCAAAAACAACTCGCCATTGTGAAATTCAATCCCCTTGATTTGTCCTTCAAGCCACACGGTGACCGGCTTTCCTGTACTACACTCACAAAAAACAGCTGGGATTTCTGTTGGTGTCAACGGTCCTGGTCCCCAAAAGACCTCGTGAGACACTCCATCAATGGAGTACAACCCTTGTTCTCTACAAAAATTGAGCTCTCTACTGCTAAGGACGCTAGCTACTCACTTTTCAGACATTGTTGTGGTATGACACTTCCTTCCCCATCATTCAAAATTGTCTTCATTTAATGTCTAAATTCCAGTACATTCATTCTTCTCCACATCATCATTTCGATCGTCACCAGTGATCACATGACCGTCAACTCCCATTACCAGGGATGCCCGTAGGGCCGTGTATAATCACTAAGCACTAGGATGTAGCATACACACACATCTGTCGACTGGTTTGGAGTCTGAGTCCTAACGACCTTTCTGTTATGATAGACAAACTTACAAAACACATCTCCAACCCCACACTCCATATACGACTCGGATCAACCTCGATAGACGCCACCCTTACTTCGGACAAGAATATGGTTTCGCGAGCAAGTGCAATGTACATGCTATTTGGTATATATTATTCTGAATCACTTCCGGAGCTCTCTGATCCCGAACTCGAGTCTGAAGAATGTTCACTATCATCGTGTCTCCGCCCCCCACCTATACCCCCAAGGTCTCCAACATTGGAGGTACCTTGTTCAAACAGCCGCATCCTTTCCTCAAGCTGCCTAATTTTCTCAGCCTCTACGTCCTCATCCATGCTCTTGCGTTTCAGACCACCTGTGCCGGTCCCCTTCCCAGCGCGACTGCGTTTGGTAGCTTGTTGTTTCAGTGGTCGCAGTACAAAGTTGTATAGTTTGGTGAGAACGTTGACAGGAAGTAAATCGATTTCAAGTTCGATTTCTTCAGTGCTCTAAACCGCAGCACTGAGCTGTGATTAAGGGAAGCGAGTTGGAGGTTACTCACATCGCGTATTTCAGGCACACCGTCATGTATAATCTGGATAACTTTTTCTAATTTTGTACCATCCAGCTTCTGTATTGCCTCACTGAGATCTTTTTTCTGGTCAAAAGTGAGGGTATCGTCTTCGTGGAGCTGCTTCTTTCCTTTACGCTTCGTCGATACATTTCCGTGCGTAGATCCTTTGACTGGGCGTATATAAGAAGGTTTAGAGTGAGACCCTGTAGACGCTCTTTCTCGTTTCTCTTTTTTCTTCTTTTCTTTGACAGGCTTAGAACCTTTCAAAGCCGCGAGGTTACCGCGCATAGTCTCTATTTGGCTTTCCATTGCCGCAATCGCACCTGCTATTCAATAAATTATCAACCCTCTCGCCATGTGAACACCACTCACGAGCCCGTTCGTCTTCGCTATCATCAGGATCTTCTTCTTCTTCTAAGTCCTCACTCATCTCCCTTAATGGTGGCAGCCCTTTCCATTTTTCATCAAACAATCGCTGTAATTCGATCCCAGCTTGGTTGACTGGAGTCCCTGAAGGGTTAAACTGAAAACAATTCCGAATCATGAGCTTGAAATCATCAAAGAACTTGAAAGCGTTTGAGTAGTCGTGATTCTCGAGTTTTTTCCGCATGGTTGACATATCCATTGGCTTCTTAATCGTTTTTGGATATGTGGGAATATCCAGTTTTATCCAATCTAGCCGATTGAGCCATCAGAAAACGTTATATGAGAGTCTAGTAAGAAACGCACCAACGGGTTCATAAAATGGATGTGCAAATGTCCAATGTTGCTTCCTATAGAGATCTTGCAGTAGCTTCCCGCAGAACTTGAGTTGTTCTGTCGTACCATCATTCTTCAAGCCCTTGGTCCGACGAATTTTTTTGGGTGCATCAGCATATGGCAGATCCTTTGGCGGAGGGGGATGTATCTCGCGCTTAGGTCGCCCAACCGCTTGATCCGTGTCAGAGCGTCGTATAACAGGGATGGAGGTAGACGTGCGTCGTACAGGAAGCATTTTTTTAAGCGCAGCAGGCGGTGTTGTGGCCCTTTTTACAAAAGGTTTACTCTAATGAGTTCGAGTAAGCCTCGGTCATATACTACAAAACAGCACTTATTACATACCTCAGCCTGAGGAGGGAGTTGCTTTATCTGTTTATCAAATACAGCTTCTACTCGCCTGCCCATTTGTGAAATGGCATGGTCTGGTCCATTAAATGTGACACAATTGTTGAAGACAAGGCGAACATCCAATATAAAGTCTTCGGCGGTGAGATATCGTGGATGAGGATCTGGATCCAATTTTGCGGGATTTGAAGATAGAAGCTTGCGCTCAATTGTCGCGAGGTCCATTGGCTTCTTAATAATCGAAGGATAATGCGGAATATTTAGAACAACAGGGTCAACAGGAAGCAAGAAGGGGCCAGAATCCTTCAACTTCTTTAACGACCGTATCGTGGATAGACAAAAGCGATATTGAGCCACGCTAATTGAGGACTCGTGTACACGAGGCTTAAATGATAATCCTGCAGCCTCATCATTCATATGGATTGAAGCTATTGCCGTGGGAGGGGAATCGGACTCCTAAAATAAGAGATAAATTAGTGTGTTCTGAAAGCCAGCACACAAGCAAGCTTGCATTAGGAATATTTTCGGAAAACATTCGGACACGTTTCGCTGGGGGTGGCTTTGTTTCTTCATCCACATAATCACTCTCTTGTACACCATAACGCGATAACGTGGAATCGTCCACGCGTGCGTGCGGCCTGGATACTATGAAAGGTTAACTTTTGGTAAGATGGGATAACAACGCATGAGCATACCCGCAATTGAATGCGAACAACTATTGCCTGGAGTCGATAATCTATCCACGGTAGCGCAATCAGCATCGTTCTGCACATCAGTAGCGCCATTGCCCTGGTTGGTGATATCTGTTGCTTCATCTACCACCACAAAATTGGAGTCTTGTGGTAATTCTGAGAGAACCATGAGCTACCAAAAAACAGGCGATAAAGCAATCTTGTTAACCTGTGCAAAATGTATCTGACTTCTGCAGGTCCATCGTCGCGTCATGATTTTGAGGGCATGAATCAGAAGCGACCATAGTCTCCAATTCGCTAGAAGTAGAAATTCGCCTGGCGTCGGTATTGAGGCTCTTGAGTAATTTGACTGTGACAAGCAGCTTCTGATTAGGATAAGGCTACGAAGAACCGCTAGACAAAAATAACAGTACCTTCGACTGTGGGGATTAAGTCCCTGTTTTCTGTTGTAGTATTCATGCCAGTGAATGACGATTGGTTGTAACGTGACGCCGTGTCACGAATCTTGTGACTGAACTGCTGCTGTAAGGCGAGTCAAAAGAAGAATTTGGGGGGCAAGAAATCCACCTAGTCATTCAGTGATATTCAGTCTTTATAGGCAAGGTGAATTAAGGTTCGATCTCATTTCACACAGCCGACAGGAAGTCTTCATCACTTCATTTCAGTACGTTTGCTGGCTACTTGATGTCATACCAGGCTATTGGATCCCACTATCGACTCTACTATAGCTATATCTATTTTCTTGCGTCTCTCGAAACCTTTGGAATAAATGGCTTGAGCTGGTTGTCTTGCCATGCTGCGGAGATAGAAAACAAAGTTTGAGGTGAAGGTTAGCCACATCGCTTCGATACCATAATGTCAGTCACACTTACCAGTTGTCCATTGAGGATCTTCTTCTGCGAGTTTTGCGTATTTAAGCAACGCTTCTCGAGGCTGAAGGTTGAAATAAAGAGAAGGTCATAAGGAAACCCGACAACAGATCGGATCATGTTGCATATCTCACTCACATCTTGATCCCGCGTTGTGTCTCGTACCAAGCTCTGTACCACATGCTGCGTGGCACTTGCTCCCACTCGTCCACCACGGCCAGGGCCCATTACAGGCAATTCTGGTCGTCTGCTCTTTCTTGGATCCATCCTTTCCTTTTCTCGCTTTCTTTTTCCTCCCTTTGTCATCCCATCTCCCTCACGAAACATCGGCAGTGCATGAGGCGTGATGATTGATGGACTAGCTAGCATGTCGGACATGTCCTCTACGGTCGCTTGCTTCAATAAACCCTTAGCGAAAAGTAGTTTGGCACCGTTAATCGAAGTTGAAGGAGAATAGAGTACGCTGATAGTCCCATTGGCTTCACCTGTGATGATTTGATTGATTTTAGGGTGCCACTGAACTTTCACAGGATTAGATTCCATCCCGACTTCCTTTTCTATTTGAAGATTTTCCCGTCGCAAGAACACAAGTTTACCACTCCCAAATTTTGAGTCTGCGCCTTTCCCTGTCAAGATGTATTTCTCATCTGGGCTGAAAACCGCATTGGTGCCAGGATATAAGGAGGTGAGTCCTGTCCGCGTAACGATTGCCTGTTTGAAAGAGCGAAGATCCCATACTGATTAATACGGTCAATCAATCTCACCACAGCTAGCATACAAAATATTACATACATTTGACGGTATCATCCCCCCCTCGCGTAACGATAGACCAGCCGTCAACAGAGAATGTAATAGAACCGGTCTCAGTGCCCTTGGTGTGTGCTTCCTCTAAGGTCAAATTTGGACGCACAAAACTTGAAGAGGATTGCCATAAATGTAGGGCACCGTCGGTGCACGCTTGTGAAATAAGTGATTCAATGACAGGGAAATGTGTACTGAAGAGACAGATTGCGATAACTCGCGGGTATACTGACCTCCGCTAATCAGCCCTCCATCTGGGGAGTAAGCACAGGTTACCACTTTCGACCGCGCACCCCGTTGCCTGGACTTGACCACGATGACATCCATTTGTTTACGCCTGTTCTCGACATCCCATAATCTATTCATGGGAAATGATTATTTTGTGCCCAGTTATCATAGTGAAAGATCAAACGGACCTAATAGTAGAGTCAGCTGAACTCGTAATAAAATGCTGAGAATCCTTGGGATGCCATGCACATGATGATAACTCAAAAACATGACCTCTAAACAATCAGTACCATCATAAGTTTTCTTCAAACACCTCAACAACGAAGACCTACAGTGTACGTTTCATGTCGCGGATATACATGTCACCTTTTGCATACGTAGCCCTAAATCTGAATGAAAATTTCTAATTTCACTTACAGATATATATACGCACTGTTCTTCACCGTCACGGTCAAATAGTTTTGCCTGGGTTGTACCAGATATGACGAGGAAACGCTTTCCATCGTGGGAGTACTTAAGGTCATTCACCTGAGAAGAAAAATCAACAGTTCCAACAATAAAACATTTATGAGGAAGCATACATAACATGGTCCTGCAGGCTCCCAGCTCTTGAATGAACGTGATTGTGTGTTCATACCACCGAAATCCCACAGCTTGACATCATAGTCGTGTGAGCCGCTAAGCACCCGAGAACCGGATGGATCAAGTGCAAGCGCAGATATGACCTTGGTATGTTCTTTCAACTTTGCTTCATGAGAGAACGGAAACGAGATATCCCTGGCCTCAAAAATAGGATTGTCGCATATTTCATCGCTATGATCAGACGGAGCTCTCCGTAACAATGACTTTGGATCCTGGTTTAGATTCCGCTCGAGCACATCCTGTGGACTCTGTCGATATGCCGTGAATGTCAGTATGACAAACAACGAATCCGCACTTACTTGCCCCTCAAATTTCATCGTATCGTCATACTGTTAATGAAAAGGTTAAGGTTTATACTATTGAAGCACGATATGAAACAAACCTCTTTGCGTTTGGTAGTGTCAAATGATTGAGGTTTTGCAAGTTTCCTCCCACAAACCTTTCCAAACGAGGTGATCCCTATTGAGCTCAGTATATCAGCCATGGTAGTGTACCAGCTAAATTCGTATCGATAAACCGAGAATACACGTATAAGCGGACTAAACGGAGTATGAATTATCTTGCTGTGCCGACGACCGGCATCTGACACTGTCAGAGTCTAACCTCGAGGACAACATGAGGCGCCACATCCGCAAAGAACGAAAAGCCATTGCCCTCGAACTCCATTGGCATGGTATCCCAGACTGCCAAATTTCATGCTACCTAGGAATATGTGAGAGAACCGTCAGGAAGATTTGCCAAACCTACCAAGAAACTGGAGGGCTCAAAAGGATATCAATGTGCTCAGGAAGGCCTAGGAAATTGACCAACCTACATGTGATGGTTAGTGCAGCTACAATTAATATAAAAAACCACTAACCTTCAAGAAGTTCTTAGAAGGCTGTATAGAAAGACAGCCAGGCATAATAATCACTGAGCTGCAGGACCTATGAGAAGTTTGTGGAGTCCAGGTCTCATTGATGACAATATTGAGGACTTTGCAGTGGCAGGGATTTACAATGAAAAAGGCGAGTCTCTCATCATATATATCAGACAGTCTCTGCTTAGACTCACTTTCCCAGGTGACTCATCCTGTCTATGAGTGTGATAAAGACGATTATATTATGATACACAATTTTTGGACTTATAACTTTCAATTTCTTCTGTGTGTCCTTGATATTTGACCACAAAAGAACATTTGTGCGTAATACAGCCACCTGCATTCAGTGTACCATCAATGTTGTAGATGGGAATAGGAATAGATACATCTAATTTCACAAGGGGGGTCTGGCCTGCTCTGCCCAGACCGGATCTAAGAAGATACTATTTGTCCCTGAATCAAGCAGTGTACTTGTTGGGTGTACTATGCTTTGGGCAAGGTTTTCGACACCAACATTTAGATGGATCTCTTTTTGGAATAAATATGTGCGCATCAGCGTATATCTTGGGATTCTGATGGGAAGTGGCTCCGAAGAAGAAGAAGAACTATCCAAAAAAACATGTTTTTCTACTTTAGTATTTTCTATATTTCTATTTTTATTTTACCAAAATTAAGCACCCTAGTATTTGTCCCGCTGGGGCTATACTCCTGGGGAGACACTGGTGCAGCAGAAGTATCATATATATTACAATTACATTTTCTGTTATAAGTACATACATACTTCTGATGGTAATTTGGGACTCATCCTGTGAAGGATAGCATTGACATCCACGGTTTTGGTTGTGCCAACATGATGACTTGTTTGATGTGTAAAGTAAAAATAAAAATGTAACTGGGGGTCCCCGCTTGCTATTTGCTGATCTACCTCTTCCCAGCTGAGTATCAGATGTCAATCTCTGACTACCCACACTATAATATTTGAAAATGTATGTAAAGTTATAGTAATAAAACCTGGTCTGAATAGCTGTCAGGGGGTAGTCTGCTTGTGGAGCTGTCAACCCTTCTCCAGCTGGTGGAGGCAAGTGCCTGGCCTGGTCAGAGGAAAGCAAAGAAGGAGTTTTGTATGTAAATTCTAATCAACAGTGGTTCCACACCAACTACTGAGCTAAGTACTCCCCCTTAACACTGGGGACATTGTATTGTTTGGTTTTGATTCTTTCTAGTTCCTTGTCCTGAAGAGCAACAGAATTGGGGCACACACTTTTGTTCCGCTGGCTAGCAAATGCTCAACACCAGTCTGGCCCAAAAGTCTTATCTTTTGAAAGACTCCACTTAACCCTGTGGTCTGGTTTTGCACAAAATGTGGGGGAGTAAAATACTGAGTCCTAGTGTGACAACCAAAGTTTTTATATTTTATACTCTGGCGCACAACTATCACAAGCAAAGAGAGGTGAGTGGAGGAGAGATAATCTCCCTTAGGGTAGGACCGAGTAAGTCGCGGGTAAACAACAGGAGGACTCCCTGAGGAGTCTCCTTGATTCATTGGGGTTTGTATACATCTACAGACTATTTGTACATGTGTACTATACAGGCTAAGTGTGGTGGCTGATGATGTCATAGTGTGCAGCCCTTGTGACCAGCTCCACCACATGAGAGAGTTGTAACTAAAAATAAAAAGGAGCTGCACAGTGCAAGAAAGTGAAGACACAAATAAAGTTTGAAAATAAAAGGAAAGTGCTGCCTGGCACAGGTGTCCAAGGGAGAATGACAGTTAAAGAGGAGAATGAAAGTTGAAAGTCCGAAATTTGTGTTTTGTAACAATAAGACTATCCACAAATGGATATGGGATCAATGCCCCGTGGTTTTCTGGTGATGCGTCTTGTTCTTGGGGCAAGTGTACTGATCATTTACATTCAAGTGGACTCAGTGTTGGTGTTGATGTCAGCATACAGGTGGGCTGGGTGCTTGGTGGGGGGCTCAGTGTTTGAAACCAATGCTAAGTCTTGTTTTTTGACTAAAAGACAAATACTAAATTTGTTTTTGGCCCACAGGGTCATCTCTTGATTATTCAGGTGACAATGGTTGTGGCAACCATATTTTCAATTGACAATGCAGTGTCTATGATGGGCCTTGCACTTTATGGCCTGTTTGAGCTGCATGAATGCTTTCAGCTGCCCATGGAACTCAGCACTTGGTGCAAGGGGTATATCAACTTTGCGGGGTTTTTTCCTCTTAGTCTTAGTCACTGGAGTCACTGGCAGAGTCTAAGGAACATTGGGTGAGTGTTCACTAGCATACTTGCTTGCAGACTCACAATATTTATTCCATAGTTATTGCTTGAGTCTGAGCATTGTGTGCTTTGCTCACCATTGCCACCTTGAGTCCCAGTGGTTGTTCATATGGGACTGCTTGCCTGTGTCTCCTGATGTTTTGTAGTCCCCTCAAACCCCCTCTTGGTTTTGCCACTCAATGTCTGTTATGAAAGTAAAGGCTGTTTACAGGTAAGTCAACAACTAGCCCATTAGACAACAGCTAACATGCTTACCTCCAGGTTGGGGTTCAGTATTTGGGTGAGTCTTGGATGGTACTCTACTGGTGATGACTTATGGGGCTGACGCCTCTGTGATGCTGGCTCAGCAATCACCATGTATGATGGTGGGGTGTCTGTGCATGCCCATATGCCTGCAGCAGTTTTTATATTATCACATATACAATTCATATTATGGTATCTATTGAGAGTCCAAAACTTTCCTGACTTCTGTAAAGTATGAGCACTGAAATTACTTACTGCAATATTAAATGAAGTCATTACCTCCATTTATCTTGTATCCATCCTATAACACTTTTATATTTTTTTATACATATGATCAGACATCCTAAGCGGTATAAATTAATTTTTTTGGTTTTTACCAAAGGTCCAAGAGCCATGGCTATCTGTTATAATTTCTACTTGATGGAAATCCAGCTGCTAAGTTACCATTATTCTATATGTCTGTTATATTCAATTATAATGTTTTCCAGAAGTGACTATGGCTTATATCCTCATAACAAAATGGTTTAAACCTGCATATAATATGTGTAGACTTGTAAGTTTTCTACACACATCACTGTTGAAGGTAAAACTTGGTTCATGTGATGCTAGTAATGCAACATTTGTATAATATTTTGACAATGCCTTGTAATATCTGGCAACTTCTGTATAGATATAAACAAACCATATCCTGGGACTGAGATACCAAATAAGGTTATAAAGAGTAGTTAAGACTTTTCTTATCATTTAGGTAAAAGTACATTTTACGGACCATTTGATTCCCTGATACACTTGTGACTTATGTTGTTTCAACTTCCTAAGGCATACACTCAAAATTTCAAGCACCTTTGGCCGCCCAAGCTATAATATATACAATTATTGTGACTAGCAGCAAATTGCAACCTCAAAACCTTCAGCTCATTGATTCCTCCTTATTTCCTAAGCAATATTGACTTTGGAACTCTAGCACTTTATATCTTCCTGGGCCCGAGCCTCTGCTTATTTCTGAGGGCCAGACCTACACTCAGATTATAGTTAGTAAGCTACTGAGCGCTCTAGTACTATTGATGAGCATGAACCTGCTACTGACAGTCACTCAGATAATCTCTTTCTCGCCAGTAACATATTCAGCTTAGCAAGCAATTTGAACAAAGATCTTCACATCTAGGATGCTAAAAATGTCAGTCAAGTCAAGCAATCAGGGCACCTTAGCAAGAAAATGAAACAATAGGTAAAATGGACAAATGATGTCATTCCTTCTATGGTTGAACCATATATGCACTTCCTTCATATTTTGGCCCTTAACTCATTGTGGAGGCCTGACCGGTCATTCTACTGCCATGGACATTGTAAAACAAGAGCTTTGGTAGTTAATTGTGTCTACTTTGATAGTACTGTACTATTTCTTCTGTTTCCTTTTATGTGCAACTGATAGTTGATAATAGGGTTACAGTTGCTCCATATCAGACATTGTCAGTGTGTGCCTGCAGCTATACAAATTATATTGCTTGGACTATTCCCCTTTGCCCCCCATTCCTCGTTTTTGGCAATCAGCATAGATTTGTTTGGTTTTGTAGAGTTATTTTTAGGACATCTTCTAATGTGATAGCACATTCAGAGGCATTAGCAGCATTTCTTTACAAACAGGATGTATTGTGATGACAATTTAGCAATACTTTTCACTGGTACAGGACTTTTTGTTATGATACACAATTTTTGGACCTTTAAATTTCATTCTCCTCTTTAACTTTCTTCTGTAGTTCTCACACACTGTGCCATGCGGCACTTTCAATTTTGTTCAAACTCCACCTTCTCGCACTGCACTGCGTTTCTTTATTTTTAGCTACAAGTATCTCACGCAGTAGAGCTGGTCACACGGGCTGTGCCCCATGACGTCATCAGCCACTGCCTTCATCAACTGTATAGTACACATGTACAAACAAACCTGTAGTAGTATATATACCCCAATAGATCAAGGAGACTCCTCAGCAAGTCCTCCTGTTGTTTACACACAACAAACTTGGTCCTATCCAAAGGGTAACCACTCCCCTCACTCCTTTATAGCTTTGTCTGAGCTGTGCGCCAGAGTATACAAAGTCTTGGTTGTAACACTTTCATTGCCACTAAGGATGAATTTGTGAACCATCTGGTTGAGGCAAAAAGAAAAAGCATTATCAGTAATCCAACCCAGTGTCTAAGTGTGTATTTGTGGCAACAGTGTCCAATATGCTTAGAAAGTACAAGTTTTGAACAACCTGTGGGAAGGTACTGCCAATAAGTCAT